TGACAGCTGTGCAGCAATCCCACAAAATGGAAAAAAGAAAAACAGACTCTCAGTCAATCCCCCAAATAAGACCATTCTTGCGGGCTCTTAAGAAGGATTAGAAAAGGAGAATATCTCCCGAAGAAAATCCAGGTGTTGCGTGGGCACTGAATGCTGGATGGAACAGAGGAGGAAAGAAGCAGACAAGAGCTGCGAAGGTGGAGACGGAGGAGCGAAGAATTGTCTGAGCTCGAGGAAGAGCAAGAGGGCGAAAGGCGAGGGGGGGAGGGGGAGACAGGGCTCATGAGGTACTTTCTTCAGATAAATCATCCATGCACGCTGCCTCTTCGCCGCAAGTGCTGCCGTCGTCTTGATACGCGGCGGATGCGCGCCCATTACCATGTTTGTTTCTTGGCACTTGCGGTCGGCCCGATTTCTAGCGCCCGCGCCAAATCAGAGACGTCATGCAAACAACGATTGGGGCCCCGACCCGAGGGCCCGCCGCCACCCGACGCAACTTCCACCGCCCACAAGCGCCCGCCACAACCGCGAGGGCCATTAGTCTCCGCCACAGCCTCGATTATCGCCATAAAGCCCATCGCGGCTACTTAATAATTATCCAAATTATCCCTGGGAAAGACTTCCACGAAACCACTGACGCTGCTACCGCCTCCACCGCCGCCGCCAACGCCTCCGCCATGTACTGTCGACGCGAGGGCCTCTCCCGCGAACCCCGCGCCGCGCTGCTCATTCGAGGCTGTTTTCTCTACTTTCTAGCTCATTCTCCCATACCAGTCACGGGAGGAAGCTCGCATGATGTGACTCGTGCTATGGTTATCCCCGACGAAGGAGAACGAGAGAGCGCCGCCGCCCGTGCACTCCAAGACAGTAAAGCACGGGGGCGAAGGGAGGGGGCTTCAGCAGCAATGCTTCAGACGAGGTGCTCCGTGGCTCCAATTTTGACCATATCGGTTATATGAGAAAAAAAAAAAGATACAAAGGAATATAGAAGGCGGGAGAGAAGGAGACGGGAGACCAACAGACATGAAGACAGAGAAAGGAAGCAGAAGGAGAAACCCTTTCCAAGAGGGCCGAGCACTTTCCCTCGGCGACGGCAGCGCATTGCAATGAGCCGCGGACACTAATAACACACAGCGGAGCGCCATTAGCCTCGCGCCCGCTGTCGGCAGCACCAGAACGGCGAAGAAATTGTACACGAGAGACCGAGGCGCCGAGTCTTTCTCTAATGACAGACGACCGCCAGCACAACATGAATAATGCTGATTTTCTCCTTCATTAGGGCTGGTTTGTACTGCCTCTTATCCCCCCCCCCCCCCTCCCTCTGGCCGCCCACTCCCCCGGCCGCCGCATTCAACGCAGCCCTCCGCCCCCCCCCCGCGCGCGTGGTGGCATTCCTGATCCCGAATGACGCAATGCTGGATTTGTTTCATTTCGGTTTGTCGTTTGTTTTTCTTTGCATGATTCGCGCTTCCTTCCACGTGTTTTCTGTCCACCTTCTTGCGCCACTCGCAGGAAGTCAGCATCAGCCGAGAGCTGACAACAAACACTATGACAACCGCTGACAGGACGTGACTTGCCGATCCCGACGTGTCATTACAGACAAAAAAGGTAATCACCTTCATAAACATCCAATTAATTAGTTACTGTTAAAAAAAAAAAACGCAGTAAACCAACTTGAAAATGTCGCGACACAAATACAGAAATGTCATGGATATTCATATACAAATACATGCGCGTGCAAACAAAAGTAAAAAAAAAATAGCAAAGGCACACACCTGCAAAAATAGGCACACCATCTCGGATAGAAGGCAACCCTCGCACTCCTCAGAGGCACTCTTGGCAGCGAGCCGTGAACGCTCAGCTTAGAACTTTCCTCCCCCACGCCGCTCCTCCCGTCATCCTTATCTCTGGCCGATTCACAAGAAACTCAACCCACCTCAACGCGACCCACTGGCAGCCCAACCCACCTCAACGCGACCCACTGGCAGCCCAACCCACCTCAACGCGACCCACTGGCAGCCCAACCCACCTCAACGCGACCCACTGCAGCCCAACCCACCTCAACGCGACCCACTGGCAGCCCAACCCACCTCAACGCGACCCACTGGCAACCTATCTCAGCGCAGATCACAGCGCACGCCAGCCATCCGTCCATGACCCCCTGGACTCGGCCCTGGGCTCCCCTGTTTAACCTCTGACCTGTTCTCTCTCTCTCTCGCCGGCGGAGAGCAGCTTGACCTCATCCCGGCGAGTGAAGGCAAATGCGCATATTAATGAGCTCATTAGCTTTAATCGCCCTGCCTCCGGCGCCGGGCGGGCCTGAGTGACAAGCCATTACGAGATCCGATCGCGAACATTATGGCTACGAACGCCGCGCGCTCGCCCACCGCCTGATCGGCCGACGCCGCCTCGTCCGATAACGCGCACATCCAGAGCGAGCGCGGGCGTCCCGTGCTCTCGTTACGCTGAGCCGATTTTCCGGTGGAAATCCGCGGCAGCCATGACAGTGATTTCTCAGCTAAGTGGGCAGGATTTGGTGTTATCATCCTTGCCACTTCGACCAATGATGACTCGGGAATGTCACAACAACTGCCTTTAGATAATGAAATACGATGTTACACGAAGGCAATGAGAATTAGAGGATGACTCTGCGACAAGTTTACTTGTCATCAGGGAGGAGAAGGATCACGCTGTTACTGCTACAGCGCTGCTGGTGCTGCTGCCTCTGCTGTTTCTGCTGCATCTGTTGCTGCTGTTTCTGCTGCATCAGTTGCTGCTGTTTCTGCTGCATCTGTTGCTGTCGCTGCTGCTGCTGCATCTGTTGCTGTCGCTATTGCTGCTGTTTCTGCTGCATCTGTTGCTGTCGTTGTTGCTGCTGTTTCTGCTGCTGCTCCATCTGTTGCTGTCGCTGCTGTTTCTGCTGCTACTGCATCTGTTGCTGTCGCTATTGCTGCTGTTTTTGCTGCATCTGTTGCTGTCACTGTCGCTGCTGTTTCTGCTGCTGCTGCATCTGTTGCTGTCGCTGTTGCTGCTGCTTCATCTACTGCCGCTGCTGTTGCCTCAGCTGTTGCCACTGCTGCATCTGCTTCTATTGTTCTTGTTATTGCTACTGCTGTTTTTGCCGTCGTTGTTGCCTCTGTTGATCTCATTACTGCTGCTGCCTCCTCTGTTGCTGTTGTTGTTGCTGATCCTGGTCATCGTGATGATGGCATGACGAATGACAAGAACATCAACAGTTGCGATCGCAACAACGTTGTCAAAGCAGCAGCGACAGCCAATGCAGCGCCGGCGTAGAGGCCACGGTGACGATTGCAAGCGACTGCGCGTGCAGCAGACACGAATGAGGCTGCAGCCAAGGCCAAAGCTGCGCCGATTGCCTGAGAGTCGCGTCGCGTGTGGCGATCGGGCTCGCTGTCACGCGGCCGCGCTCACGCACGCGCCCTCGCCTCGCACACCAACCCGCGACAGGCACGCAAGCACAATACGCACACGCATAAACTCACAAAAACAAACGCAAATACATACATCACACACACACCATGCACGCACGCGCGCACACACACACACACACACACACACACACACACACACACACACACACACACACACACACACACACACACACACACACACACACAACTACATAAATAAAAAAAAGAATACAGACATAGGTACACGTGTACGCATGCCTGAATGTGCGTGCCCACGTAAGTCAGCCAAGCCCGACCAAGGCCCACGGAGCCACAGCCCACATGATTCGCGGCGCCCGGAGAGTCACCTCGTCACCCGCTAATTGTCTTGAACCGCATCAGATGTCGAGATGAAGCCATTTATTTCCTTCTGCACGATTTTTTTTTCGCCGGTTGCAAACAAGCGTCAAAAATTTTTAGAAAATATGATCCGCACAGATCTTTTTTTTTGTCGTTTGCAAACAAGTGTCAAAAAAAATAAACCGCATCAGATGTCGAGATAATGCCATTTATTACCTTCTGCTTTTTTTTCCTTTTTTTCTCTGCTTTTTTTGGCCGTTTGCAAACAAGTGTCAAAAATTATGAACCGCATCAGATGTTGAGATACTTCCATTAATTACCTTCTGCACCATTTTTTTCGCCGTTTGCAAACAATCGACATAAAATAAATAAACAAACAAACAAATAAACAAAAGAATCCGAATTCAACCCCGAGCGCTCTCCTGCGCCTCGCCAGCGTCACCTTCACCCGCTCTTTTCTCTCCTACAACCGATTCGCGGGACATAAATTTCCTTCCCTATACTTAAGGGAAAGTGAAATCGGTTCTAGAACACGCGGTGGGCGGCCGTGTGACCTGCCGGGTTCTTGTCTTTGCTCTTCGACTTTATTCATTTATTTCTGTAGCTCTCTCTTTCTTTCTTTTTATCTCTCTCTCTATCTCTTTTCTTCTTCTTCCTTCTTCTTTCTTTCTTAATTTTTTCTTTCTTCCTTTCCTTCTTTCTTTCTTTCTTTCTTCTTCCTTTCTTTTTCCTTCCTTTTCCTTTCTCTTTTTTTTTCTTCCTTCCTCTCCTTCCATTCTTCTATTGACTTAGCCCACGCCTCCCAAACGCCCGCACGGAACTCCCCCCCCTCCCCCCCGCCAATATTGCCCTTCCAGATGACAAATGGGTGGAGGGGAGGGGGGGGGGGAAGAGGTGCAAGCGAAACAAACAAAAGAGAAAAACAATTCCATATACCCCCCCCCCTCTTGTATTTCATCTTCATCACGATGGCCTTTGACCTTCCTGACCTTGGCGTCCATACCTTACTCTCCCCACCCCCTACCGTTGGCTCTTCTCACGCCCCTCCTCATTTACCCCTCCCCCTTTACCCAACCCTCCCCTCCCTTCTCCTCCCTTCTCCTCCTCTTCCCTCCTCTTCCTCCCCTCCCTTCTCCCCTTCCCTCTTCTCCTCTCCTCCTTCCACTTCCAGTCCTCCTTCTCCTACCCTCCCTCCCCTCCCTTCCACCCCCTCCTCCCTTCTCCCCTCCCTTCCTCCTCCCCTTCCCTCCTCCTTCCCTCCTCCTTCTCCTACCTCTCCCTTCCCTTCCCTCCCTTCCCTCTCCCCTTCCCCTCCTCCCGTCTCCTACCCCTCCCTCCCCTCCCCCCATTGTCTGTTTAGGCCTACGTGATCCGTGAGTCTCGCCTTACCTTCCCTCGTGGCATATCTATCATCGTCAAATTTTGCTGTAATTGTTTTTTTCTTTCTTTCTTTCTTTCTTTCTTTCTTCGGCATTTTCTCTTCCATTTGTTTTTCTTCTTCTTCTTTTTTAAACAAATATACAGACATCTTCATGTTCCTCTCCTCCTTTTCCTCTTTTATTCGGCTTTCCCTTTCCTCTCTTCCGTTGTTTCGCCCGTTTTCTCTGGCTTTCTTCGTCAGCGCTTGGAATATTTCCTTACCTCAGCCGTCTCTTCCCCTTCTTTTCTTCGTCGTCTTCCCCTTTTGTTTCTATTCTTAATTTGCTTTCTGATTTTGTTTATACTCCTTCTCTTTCTACTTTTCTCTTCTCTCTCCTTTTCCTTCTTCTCCATCATCTTTCTTCTTCTCTCTTCTTCTTTTTCGTCTTCTCTTCTCTTCTTTCTCTCCTCCTTCTTTTTCTTTTTTCATTCTAATCTTAAATCTAATTTCAATTTCAATTTCAGTTTTAATTTTCTGTTTTTCTTTTTATCTTTATCGTTTTCATTTTTTTCATTCTTCTCCTTCTTCATCTTCTTTTTCACCTTCTCCTTCTCTTTCTATTTCTCCTCCTCCTTCTTCTTCTTCTTCTTCTTCTTCTTCTTCTTCTTCTTCTTCTTCTTCTTCTTCTTCTTCTTCTTCTTCTTTCTTCTCTCTCCTTCTCCTTCTCTTCTTCTTCTTCTTCTCTCTTCTCCTCCTCCTCCTCTCTCTCCTCCTCCTCCTCTCTCCTCGCTCCTCCCTCCTCCTCCTCCTCCTCCTCGAAGGGCATCAGAATTGAATGTTAGTCATCTGATATTCAAAACATGAACACAGGTATCGCTATGATTTATACGCAATTTTAATATCAATTTTATTAAATTTCTCGACTATTGGAAAACGCTATTTTACGCTTGTATCAATCTCTTTTCTTATATATTTTTCTCATGTAACAAAATAAACTTACTAGGAAATGTAATTTTCGTAGATGGTCAAAAATAGTTCTCCCGAAAATAGCTGCCCCTCGAATAATTATCCATCTGTCTTGCCTTGCCTTCCTTTTCCCATCTCAGATTCCCCGTTTCCCGTTCCAACTTCCCTTTCCACTTCCCCTTCCCTATCTACTTTTCCTTCCCCCCTTTTTCCCCTTCCATCTCTTCTCTTCTCTTCTCCGTCTCCTTTCCCTTTCCTCTTTCCCCTTCCCCTTTTCCCATCTTCCCTTTCCCTCCCCTTCCCTATCTTCCTATCTTCCTCTCCTTCCCTTTCCCCTCCTTCTCTTTCCTTCTTCCCTATCCCCTCCCCCCTCTCCTCCTCCCTCCCCCTCCCCCTCCCCTCTGACCTTGGCTGCATCGCACCCTCTTCAGCCCTCCAGGGACTCGTGACGTCACCGACCCAAAGCGGAAAGTACCCTGGCGTTTACAGCGACGCTTCTGGATGCCTGAGACGCCCGCACCTGGCCATGGCTGAGCACAGGCGGGCATAGGGGACGAATGGCAGTCTTCGGGAGGGTGGATGAGGGCTGGGAAGTCCCTGGATAGGGGCATGAGGGCCCGGGAGAGGGGCGGGGGGTCGGGGCATTCCTGAACTGCGGAAGGGACAGGCGCGAAGGTCGTCGAGAGGGACATGTGGCCTCCGCGCTGGGACGCTCCGCTCCTTTCACTTCGATACAATCGCCCGACTGGAAGCTGTTCGCATAACCTAATACATGGGTTTTTGGATATCGCTTCGACCTAACCCCAAGTCCTATTACTTCCCACGCGCGCGAGTGAGTTAGTGAGTGGGTAGGTGAGTGAGTGAGTGAGTGGTGGGTGAGTGAGTGAGTGAGTGAGTGGGTGGGTATGGGTGAGAGTGGGGGTGAGAGTGGGGGTGGGGTGGGGGTGGGTGGGGGTGGGGGTGAGGGGAGAGGGAGAGGGAGAGAGAGAGAGAGGGAGAGGGAGGGGGAGGGAGGGGGAGGGGGAGGGGAGAGGGAGAGGAGAGAAGAGAGAGAGAGAGAGAGAGAGAGAGAAGAGAGAGAGAGAGAGAGAGAGAGAGAGAGAGAGAGAGAGAGAGAGAGAGAGAGAGAGAGAGAGAGAGAGAGAGAGAGAGAGAGAGAGAGAGAGAGAGAGAGAGAGAGAGAGAGAGAGAGAGAGAGAGAGAGAGAGAGAGAGAGAATGAGAGCGATCGAGAGAGAGGAGACAGACGAAGAGAGAGAGAGAGAGCAAATCGAGTGAGCATGGTAATTATCCAAATCATCATTAAGCGGTTATCACTGGCGTGCCATTAAATCGGATTCTGAATTGCCCCGAAATGGTTTGGCCACATTCGGCCGACCTTGGGGAAATCCTTTATGGAGAGCTTACGCCTCGCTTTCCAAACATCAATTGGCCACGCCCCCCCACTCCGAGTCTCGCAGCCCATTTCGTTCATCTCGGCGCCGTCCCTGCCTTCCTTGCTTTGCAGCCTTTCCATTTCTTTCTCCTCTTCCTCTCCTTCTTCTGTGCTACCATCTTCGGTTCTATGCCTGGTACCTTCCGTCTTTGCCTTTACGCAATGCCTTGTCCTGCACACTGTATTGTTACTCCCCCCCACCCCCGCGACCCGTTACTCCTCGCCCCTCCCTTTCCCCTCTCGGCTCTGCGTCTTCTGTTTTATCAATCCTTCTCCCATTGCCGCTCTTGCTCGTCCGCCTGCTAGCCCATTCCACTCTAGTTATGCTCGTGCCCTCCCCTTATCCCTCTTGTTCCTCCCCTTACCCCATCGTCCTCTCGCGACCTCCCATTCCCATATCCCATCCTCTTTTCGCTCTTAACACCTCCTCATCACCACCTGCTTGCATCCTCCCCCTCCTCCCATCCCCATCTGCGTTCCTGCCCCTTCCCCCATCTTCTTCTCGTTCCTCCCCCATATCCCCTAACCTGCCACTCATACCGCCTCCTACCCCCCTTATTGCTCCCTCCCCGTCTCCCATCCCTCTCGCTCCCCCTCCTTCCCCTCCCTCCCGCTACTGCTCATGACCCCGCATCCGCTAATGCCCTCCGCTCTTCATTCCCCTTCCCCTCTCCCTACTGCTCCTTCCCCACCTGACCATCCCTCATCGGCTCTTCCCCTTCCCCTTCCTCTCCTACTGGCTTCCTCCCCTCGTCCATACTCTC